AGATAGATAGATAGATAGATAGATAGATAGATAGATAGATAGATAGAATATCTGGCATAATTCCAAATGTCTAGTCACCCTATATAATTGAATGCTGAGCTATATAGGTTTTTGCACTGGTCCAGAAGGACTGTTCCACGCTGCCCCAATCTTGTGCCAAAAGCACAAGGTCTACTTTGACCTTAAGTTTTAAAAGAGTTTTTGTTTTCTATGAAAACCACAACATCAACCAAACTTTCTGTTACAGTTTGACTGAAATTTAACCAAGATCAGATTCTGTTGTTTTAAGAACTGGATTTAATTACCTTCAGGCTACTGGATTACAGCAAATATTTAGTCTGAATATTGAATTCTGCAAAACAGTTTATCTAATTATTAGTATGCCATTAACTATCCAGATATAGGAAAACAACAATGCTATTTTAAAGGAGAGTACTGAATGTACGTTCATGTGTCTTTTTAAGTGACCATGTTTTTTTTTACTGAAAGAAAAATGGGACTTGGGAAAAATTCTAATGTGATAGGTGAAGGGAAGGTACTGGTTACTTGGCAAAGATCTGTCATATGTGTTACATTTTAATTTTCAGGAAAATGAATTAATGGAAGTTGAATTTACATTGGAGAATATGTGAGTAACCCAAATAACATTGAAGTAAAGTATTGGAAAGTCCATAACAATACAAATGCAATATTGTATAAATAGCAGAGCAACTCATTTTTTTCATTTGCTATCCATAAAAAAAATCAAAATCATGTCATTCAAATAATAACTGTTCTTTGGCCCAGAAAGTGAAGAAATGAAAACATTTGTCATGGAGCAAAGTTATTTTTTCTTGCATAGCAGCTGCATGAGTCTCAATTCAAATCCAATTTTTAGAAATTAACTTTCTCTATTACGGTTCCTGCAAATTGGGGAGGAAGTCAGAAAACAACCTTTTTAAAGTTTGCTCCATTGCTTGCTTTCAACTCTCATCCAATTGCTTACAATCTACCCCAATATAAAGACTGAAACCATACAGACCTTAAAGAGCAGCAATCAAGGAACAGCATAACCTCTGATTGGATCACAAGATGATCATGTCCTACAATATTTAATGTTCCATCTCACTAATTTGTCTGGAAGAATCAAATACTCAAGAATATTCCCAAAGGTGCTTTTTCAAGAAGCAACTGGACTTTCTTGTTTTTCTTTGAAGATATTTGGTTTCTCAGCTTCTTCAATTCTGACTGGATGATGGGGAATGGAAGGATTTATATTCCTTGCAGACAGCTCAACAACTCTCTAAAAGAATGCAAATGACCAGCTGCAAGGAGTATAAATCCTTCCATTCCTCACCATCCAGAGAGCTGAAGAAGCTTCTTGGATGAGAAGCAAAATATCTTCAAAGAAAAACAAGTCCAGTTGCCTCTCAAAAAATCACCTTTGGGACAACCATGACCTGGATGACTGAGAATCTCCATAAACACTCAAGAGTATTCTAAAATTTAGTAGGGGAGTACGTTCCTTGTATCTTGAATCAATAAAGGGGCCATCACCAAGAAGCCTTGAGCACAAGATCCCTGAAGATAGCATTCCCTTGACAGAAGAATACTTAGCAAGCCTTCTTGCCCTGTATTCATTGGATAGATAGATTCCACACAGAGCAAATGGTGTCAGAGTTATCTGACCTAACCCATGCAGGATTTTAAAGGAGACAACTAGCACCTCGAATAGCACTTGGAAGCTAACTAGCAGAGGTTCCTGCTAAAAATATGCATACAAACAAACCTCAGCACATCCAAAACTACTCAGGCTGCCCCACCCTAGACCAGCTACAGCCTCAGAATAGCTTTCAATGGCAGTCTCATATATAGAGGATTAGAGTAATTTAGATGGAAAATGATAAAAGCAAGAACTGTCAACAATGTTTTTCCTCTGGCAGCTGGTACATCAGATATAATTATGCTAAATCTCTTGACCACACCTCCACCTGTTGTTCTTGTCAAAGGGGATTCTCAAACCATGAACAATGCCCATCCAGAGGAGTGCAACCTATTTAGAATTAAAGATGGAGTCAAGATTCAGTTGACTTCAAAACCCAGACCCATTATCTTGCTGAGAGCAAGCTTTGATGGTTTCCCTCTATCCAGACTCTAACACCAAGGCAGGATTTCAATACCAGGCCTTTACAGGACAGGCTTTGAATGATACTTGCTTTTCCCCTTGAGTTGAATCTGCTAGAACATTTGTAGTAGGAGCTAATGTTGAATCATTGTGTCTTCTTAAATTGTAATGTTATACCTGTAACTATATTTCTGTTTTCTAGAGAGGGTCCACCTGAAACAATAGCTACAAATGGAGCAGTGGTGGTAATTTTTATTTATGTATTTGTTTCTTTAATCCTTTATTTTCCAATTAGAAAAATGTGAACCTGCTTCACCTAGAGCAGGATTGTACAATCTTTGGTTGGCCAAGAATCCCTCTTGTTACTGAAAATCATGCCTTGTCTGCTTTCCTAAAAGGAGACAGAGTCTAGAAAGAAAGTGAATAAAGTTCAGGATAAAAATGAAACTTGATGAAATGTAATTACAAGAAACCAAATCACAGTACTTGATGTGATTATTTCCCATATATTTGTAATTTACCTTTTGTGCTGCACTAAAATTGTAATTTGTGAAGTTTCTGAGGGCATTCAGTGGCAATGGTTAAAATCAGAGTGCCTACATGAGAATTCAAATTGATTCAATCCTTTGTCAAAATGCCCACATTACTTTATACATTAATAAACAAATGGTTGAAATTGCCTGTTCACATGGGATACAGACTAAAACAGAAGAGGCTCAGTCTATTAGGGACTATAAAAATATCTGAATCAGTGCTTAGATTTAATGAAGGATGGAGCAAAGCACTTCCTCAAAGCAACAACTGTATTGCTTCATCTTCTGGACTCCCTGCCTTCTCTTCTACAGCCGTGGGAGGTTGGCTACCTTCTCTACAGCCATGGGAGGTTGGCTAGCTTTCACTTCTACATAGGTACTTGTCATTTCATCAAGACTAGGACTGTAGTTGTATTTGCTGAATAAATATTAAGTGGAACTAGAACTGATAGCTTTCTGATAGCCACATGTGGTTTAACCCAGCCTCTGTTGGCATAAGTCACTCCAGAGTTTTGCCCACCATTGTTAATAGTTGTCCAAGCATGAACATCCTGTGTGTGTTTTTTGGACTAGCCTTTCAAAATCTGCCCTTTGAAAAATAATCAACTGGAATTCCTATGGCAAACCAATTTATTCTTAGTGACACTAATTTCAGAACTTGTCCTTGGTGTTTATATGTGTTATCTGTGTTATTTAGTATAAAGTACTAACAAATCACTGATTCCAACTAACCAGACTGCTCATCTATGTAAATATGGGAATAGGAAACTGCCTATGAGAGCAGATAATGTTAAAAGGGAGGTTTTGAGGATGATGTTGACCACTTAATAGCATGCCTTTAAAAAGCAGACCATCTACCAGCAATCTCTAATTTTAAAATATTTCCTCTTCAGTTTATCCGTGTCATAATATCTTGCTAATTAATTTATAAACTTAATGATATGACTGTCCAAATTTACATGGTATCATTCAGTTAGTCAAAGCATTATATCAGAACAAAATTTACAGCATTTGGTCTAGGAAATGAGGTTTACTGTTTGGACAACTTTCTCAGAGATGGAAAATGTGAAGATATTCCTTTCGTTGCAGTGTCGTGAATTCTGCCGCTTGGAGTTTCAGATAGACAGGAAGAAGCGGAAGAAAAAGAAAAAGTATTCTAAACGTGAGGGTATATTGCATTACAATCTTCATAAACAAATGATTAAACGTTCATGTATCACGTTCCAAAGGCTATATGTATAACTGCTGGAATTTCTATTCAAGCATTTGTTGACCCTGATTATACTACTGCTGTATTCAGAGCATCGTGTTCTGAATATGTGAAACGCCCAGATTGAAAAAGTGGGCCATGTCAGATCAAGTTCAGTGTTCATATCAGACCAAGGAAATTTTTTTTCTTTTAAATTCATTTTTGGTAACATTGATAATTTTACTTTTATTGTAGTGTCTCAAAATTGGGTATGTTTGGTTTAATGAAAAGAAGGACTAGGGGTGACATGATAGCAGTGTTCCAATATTTAAGAGGCTGCCACAAAGAAGACAAGATCAACTTATTCTTGAAAGCATCTAAAGAGTGATGGATGGAAGTGATGGATGGAAACTAATCAGGGAGCAAACCAAGCTAGAACTAAGGAGAAATTTCCTGAAAGTTAGAATAATTAATCAGTGGAATGACTTGCCTCCAGAAGTTGTGGGTGTTCCAACATTAGAGGATTTTAAGAAAAGATTGGACAACCGTTTGTCTAAAATGGTATGGGGTTTCCTACTTGAGTGGAGGGTTGGACTAGAAGACCTCAAGATCCCTTCCAACTCTGTTATTCTGTTAAAGTGGAACTGAGTCAAAATAATAAAATAGCCAGGAATAAAAATTTGCATGATTAGAATGTACATTGTTCAAGATCAGACAAAGCCAATCATATTTTGGAAAGAAGCATACCCATAAGGGAATTTCAAGGCATTCTAGGTTTATTTGGTTGAGAAATAAGGTTGTTTTCTACCGACCTCTCTCTGGGAGTAAGCCACACTGATCCAAATAAGGCTGCGCCTAAATATTTATATCACTGCATTATCCTTTATTTATACATATCCAGGCCATGTTTTCCAGCAATGCTCAAAGCAGTTAATTTTTTTTTAAAAAATAAGACTCTATGAATTGTAATGCATATCTATAGATGGCATTGATATTCATTTGTATACTAATATTATTTTTTTTACTTTGCACTCTCTTTTTAGAACAAGATGTTAAATGTACATTAAAAGGATCCTTTGAAGAAACTCAAAACATTTCATTAACTTCTGCCAACAAGCTGCAGTGCACTGGACCTTCCTTTTTCCACTATGCCAAGTATAATCCAGCAAAACTGGACATTCTTCTTCCAGGAAAGAGATCGTTTCTCTCTTTTGTATGTCATAGCTGAGCATGGTAGTAATCTGGATAGTTTTGTGTAGTCATTTTGTTGGGAGAAGTATTTAAAAAGTAAACACTTTTGAGTTTTTTTTAAAAAAAGTATCTTTATTTCCAGTTCTCTTGCATGTGTTCTGGAATTGGTGCTGCCAAAACCAGAAAGTTGACCTTGCCTATACATTCATTTCCCCTAAATCAGGAAATAATCAAAGAGGTGAGTACATGTCTAATTTTCAGATTTTTTTTTCTTTTTTTAAGGGTCCTTCAAATAAATTTCCCAGGGGGCAAATAAAATAGTATGCAACTGAATCACTTCCTGGTATATTAAAGTTAGCAAACCTCAAGTTACTTTGAATTAACCTCCGGTAATTTCCATGCTCTTCCTAGTTAGGTACCATTATACCCAGCTTATGTTTACCCCTGCAGTTATTTTCCTTTGACTCAAAATATAATGACACAGCTCTTACTGAATTATATCACAATAAATATAAATGGGGCTTCATCAGGGATTCAAGATACTCTTCCATGGGAAAAAAATAAGTCAAACATTCCCACCCTAACAGTCCCCTCCCCAATAAAAACCGGTAAGGAATACACTAAAAATGTAGAAATAAGGTACTAGCCTGGTTGATATAGTGTAGTTAGGAGTAACATTGCATTAATACAGGAATCAACTTTGGAAAGACATATTTGGAATTTTGAGAGCAGTTTATGGTATTTTCACATGTTAGATTGGATGTGGCCAATCACAAAGTATGCATATGTTAACAAAACAGACAGATGTGGGTGGCAGACACTCACTCATTCCTCTAGAGGCTAGTTATATTTCTTATCTGACCTGTGTCAAAGGGCTGACACAAATTTAAATGCTTCACTCAATTAAGAGAGGCATTTTCTCTCCTTTTTATCATAAGTGTTCCTTGATCTCTTCAACTATATTCTTTGCAACTAACTTTTTTTTTATATACACGTTGTACAAAACCTTATCTTCATCCTAATTAACCATCCTCTCAAATGGATGGTTAATTAGGATGAAGATAAGGTTTTGTATAATGTGTATATATGAATTTTACTTATCCCCAGTCTCTTTCACTTCATCATTTCACTAAGCATTTTTTTCCTACTTCTTAAAATGTGCTGATGCACTGCATTCAACATGTTTGATTGAATGCAGTGCATTGGCACATTTTCCCTGTCTTCCATGGCATTATGCAGTCGTCATTTCTCTGATAAAAAGCAGCTTTGTAAACCAACATTTTAAGGATTAGAATTAACTATATTTCCTTAACATTTTCATATCTCATGCCTTTAATTCCTTTGGCTTTGTATTTCCTACTCCTTACTTGTTGCTTTCCCTGAAAGGGAATGACATAATTAGTATGTATGTACAGACACTCAAAATTAAAAGTAGATAAGACAGGAAACTTGACAGATGCCAAATAACAAATCAGCAGGCACATTGTCATTCTGGATGCCATGCTGTGAATTCACGGCCTAATATATTATTTGACTATAGCCTTGAGTTGTATGAAACCAACCAACTATATTTTAAATTGTGAATAAATAACCCATGGCTTATGACTGATCTGCAAGACAAGTTTATCCAAAGTTGGCCATTTCCCATTGAAGAAACAGTTGATGTAATTTTTTTAGTCACCCCTAGCCTATAAGGAAGGCAATCTCCACCTATCTCTCCCTGCAGCATGTTCAAAGTAGTATTTTCTGATTTGTGCCGACATAAATGGTGCTGTCTGGTTCACTTGCTCTGTTTCATTTCAAACTTGAAATATTTTGGCTATTGTGCACTACAAGGATACCCCTCCCATCTAGATACCAGTTACTCTCTCTATAGCCTTTTCTAAAAAAAATAATTCACTACTGGGAAAATGAAACAGTGAATCTGACATAATATATTGCTTGATTTTAGTTTTCAACACATAATGAATCTTAATATCTTGATAGTTAGAAGAGCCCAAGGGGCACCATTGTTGGGCTGTGCATAGGACATCATTTGACATTAATCAGTCCCTGGTTCTAGTCACTAAAATGGAAAAAAGCAGACTGAATGCAGGATGCTTCTTAACTGATACCAACAAGAGCTATACCTCCCATAACAAAATGTGCCACAAATATGAGGTATATATGAATCTTCTGTTTGATAAGGGGGTAGGACTAGAAGACCTTCAAGCTCCCTTCCAACTGATACTAATACTGATATTGATATTGATACTAATTGCTAGCGCCAAAGTATGTGCAGTCTTCAGTGCTTTAATTTTTCACATTTAAGAAAAGCTATGATGGGGGTGCAGTTTTGTATTCCAGTTGAAAGTTCAATCCCATGAAAATAACACTGTCGTTACGTAAGTCACTTTTTTAATGGGATGTGGTTCTTAAATCTGAATACAGTTTAATTCTTTGTAATAGCTTTTCAGTAAAAGTAGACAATGCACCTGAGAGTCTCTTCTGTGTGGGCAACATTTAGGCACGTTTCGCAGTGGTTGAAATGTCACACCCATCCTCTGAATATATTCTTTTTCCTATTGGGGAAAAAGTATATGATAATATCACAAAACAGCTGTGGCATATCAATCCTAAGGGCAAAGTAGTACTGTTTATATATCATACACTACACCAGGCATGTCAAACCCATGACATCACATGATGTCACGTGACATATCGTGACTTTTTCCCCATTGCTGGCAATGGGGTGGGCACGGTTTTGGCGTGACTCATTCGGCCCGTGGGCTGGCAGTTTGACATGCCTGCGCTACAGGGATAAGGTTAATTTAATATTAAGCCACAAATGTAGTTGGTTAGGTTTTGGCTTTGCCGGCCATTAAGACCTCAGGTTACCTATGAATCAGGCTACTATGACTTATTCAAGAAACCATGGATGAAAAAAAAATGTGGCTTTGCCAGAATTATATGTGAACAGTGAATTCTGAGAGTTCTGAAGTTTCTTTAGAATAATGTCCATCTAAAACAGGAAGAAAGAGCCTCATTTATCCTCAATGACAATCCTCCAAGGCATTTCACATAAATCTGTGAGATTCTTAAGATCCTAGGTGCAACTAATATCTCCATGCTGTTGTGATTTCAATTATTAGGAAGTGCTGACAAGTACCCAAACATCTGCATAGTTTTAATACCCTGTCTTTAATTTTAACATTGGTACCAGCACATTCAAGCCTCCTCTACAACACATATTCTTGTTTTCTCATCTTTGTAAGAGATGCAGGGATGATTTCAACAAAGATAGTATTAATAGTAATTAGTACTGTGCATTCTTAATTTTCAGGATAAAGAATTTAATTTACACTTCACAACCCAGAACTGGTAAGATGCTTTTCTTGCCTTCTATAAATTTATCTACTGATGCTCTGGATATTTTTAAAATAAACTCTCCTGGGAATCAACCTGGTGACTATATAAACATATCCATGTTGTTTTCTTGTCATCAATACAGAATTAATTTGCCCTCTGTCTTACTGTATTTATTTGACTTTTCAGTAGCATTGATATTTTCTGCGTGGTTTCCTATCCAAGTAATTAGCAGGTCTGGCCTTGCTTATCTTTTTCAAGATCTGCCTGAGTTGGCTAGGTGCTCTCATCTGTTGGACAGATTGAAAACATATTTCCAAGGATATGTTTACTGTTGACAGTATGATCCTAAATTAACACCTTTTCACTGCAGTTTGGTAATAAAAAGGATTTAGTTTTATTGAACTTGTTCCCAAGGTTGAGAAGTATAAGTCTCTGTCAAGGCTGTGCTCTGCTTCCTGTGTGTAGGTGGAAGGAAGGCTTCTTGCTAATTAACCTAACTTTCTTTCATTCAACTTAAGATTGAATGGCTTTGGAGTTCTCATCCTCTGAGGATATGAGTATGATCTAGCTCGATAAATATCTTGGTTTTAATTGTTGTGACCAAAATCCAGTATCATGCCATTACATCAGGCGAGGGAGTGTACATTTTTGAGGAGGAATGCTATTGTATTAAGAGTAGATCTGCCCACTTCCATATGAAATCCCAGCATGATTCATTGTCACAACACTGCCGCAGAAGAGTTTGCACAAGAAGAGATCTGGGCTGGGCTATAGCTTTTTGCAGAGCAGCGTTTCATATTTGCCTGTGTAACTTGGATCTATTTATGGAATAAGCATCGTTCTAACATAAGTTATGACCCAGGATAAATCTTTGTGGGGTCCTTGATGCTCTGTGAGCTTGCTTGTTTTCTTGCAGATGTTTCATTACCCAGATGCACTGATGATGATGTTACCTGGTTTAGTTAATGAAATGTTTGTAAGAAAACAAGCAAGTTCACAGAGCACCCAGGATCCCTCATTTCAACCCTGAGCTACAAATATTCTCTTTTATTGATCAATATTTGTGTTTCAGCACATCAGATCTAGATGTACGCTTAGGGTTTGATCTTTGTCCAGAAGAAGAGGCTTTCCTGAAAAAACGAAAGAAAGTGACTGCTGCTGCTTTCAAAAAGATTCTCCAGCTTGAGGATGATCTGGAGGAAGATGAGGTTAAGAATTCCGTTTTATACTTATGGAAATTCGTCTATAAGCTTGTAACTTTCAAGCTTTGTGATTTCTCTAAATGCACTGAACTTGTCATGTGCAGTTTCATGTCCTTGCTTAACTCATTCTGAGTTATTTCTTTCCTCATGTCTGGGCTATTTATAATAGACCCTTCCCTTATTATTGCCAATGCAGGGAGGTGGTATCAGGTTTAGGCATGTTGACATAGCCTCCAAGTTCAACACTTTGTAGCTCCATATTCAAACTGGAAGGTCAGAAAGTAGGATTTGATGGGTTGAAGGGCCAGAGAATATTTCTGTGCTAATATTCTTATTCTCATTCTACCCAACTTCATAATTAAGGTAACTTTATTAGTCTTGTAACAGTAAGAGACACACAGCCCCATTACCTTTATTCAAGTTCCTGGCTGAATTGCATCATTTCATAGTCTGAGACATTCTAAAACAGGAATCTCCATTAGCTCAAGGGCAGCACTAAGTTTTGCCCAGCATGTCAAGAGTTAACATCTAAAAGTGAACAGTGGCATGATCCATCAAGGACAAAGATAGGAATGCAAGAGTTACAGCAGCCATTTTATTCTGTAATCTCCTACATCCCTTCTCAATTTTTTTTTCAAAAAGGGAAATATTTGAGCCCAAACCATTTGAGGAAACTGAGGTCACAGCAGAAATCCTGACCAGCTGTATGATGCCCAGAAGCCATACATTTGGCATTCCTGCTCTATGTCTTCTAAAGTATTCGAATAACCGTATCGTCATTCCACGAGATAGTCGAAGAGGGTAATGTCCATCAGGAGATGAATTTTATCAAGTAAATCACTGTCAAGTTTTAATGTTGCCGTGACTTTTTTTACTGAATACTGACAAAAAGTGTGAATGCTGGTAACGTCGTAGTGGTACCAGTGTACTAGTTTGACTGTATAAATACCCGGTTACATTGTTCTGGGGTCATGTGATCCCCTTTTGCAACCTTCAGATGAGCAAAGTCAACAGGGAAGTCAAATTCACTGAAACAACAGTGTTACTAACTTAACAACTGCAGTGATTCTCTTAACAACTGTGGCAAGAAAGGTTGTAAAATGGGGCAAAACTCACTTAACACATGTTTCAATTAGCAACCTAAATTTTGGACTCAGTTGTGGTCGTAACTTGAGGACTACCTGTAATTGATTTGTTTTCATCTCTGAATCCCTAGACAGCCTTCTTTTGAATAAGGGTTCCCTAAGCATGTCAGGTCCCTGAGTATGTTTCATAGAAATATCTATTTAAAATGTTGTGATTGAAAAGTTTAAGTATCTCACAGTGATTATATGTTAACTATTTTGATGAACATTGTGTCTTCCTTGTGTTCAATTAAACAGGTGCCAGTGGTGGCAATCATGACAACAGGCGGTGGGATCAGAGCACTTACAGCGATGTATGCTCACCTACTGACATTGCAGAAATTAAATGTTTTGGACTGTGTGTCCTATCTCACTGGATTGTCTGGCACAACATGGTAAGCCTCGTGTAATCCGGTGAGTTGTTCCTAAAACAGTAAAAGGAAGTTTTATTAACCCCCTTCACTGGAGGTTTTTAAGAAGAGACTGGACAGCCATTTGTTCAGAATGGGCACAGGTCTCCTACTTGAGCAGAGGGTTGGACTAGAAAACCTCCAAGGTCCCTTTGAACTCTGTTATTCTGTATTCTGCAAATAATTATAAGGAGATGTTTTTTAGACAGGGTGGGTATACAAGACGTTGCAGTAGCAATTATTCATTGATACAATGAATACAGTCTATAGCATAATTAAAATCAGGAGACGCAAATCCGTATCATTTTCAAGGAAGGTCACAAGGAGGTAAGCTCAGGCTACATACCAGGAGAAATGCGAGGCCACATGCAGAAACAAGCAGCCACGTGAAATGATTATTTCTCCTTCATTGGAAGACTTTAAACTGACATAACCAAAGTATTCTTAACTGAGCAAAATGCCTGTGGTCAAAGAGGGTGTAGAACTGTGGTTCTCAAAGCGTGGTCTGCAGATGCTTTCAGGGGGTGTACAAAATCAAATAAATGTTTAAACATTTCTCAGTTTTAAGAGGGTTCCTGAGACAAAAACATCTGACCGAAACTGAGCAGGAGGGTGGATCAGATGACCTCTAAGATTCCTTCCAGCCCTCTGAATCTGATTCATAGGTTTATGTTTTGCTTCTTTTCAGTTCCTAAACCTGCCTATGTTTCTTTCCAGGACAATGGCATGCTTGTATGAGGATCCCAACTGGTCCCAAAATGATTTAGAAAAGCCACTCAGGGATTTGCAAAACCAGGTGACAAAAAATAAGTTTGTGGCCAGTTTTGCCCCCAAAAAATTGAAGTACTATGCAAAGGAACTGTGGCAACGTTATCAAGAAGGGTACAGTGTATCTTTTACAGATCTATGGGGATTGATTATTGAAGCTCTGCTAAACAATGAGGTACTATACTATTTTTTTTTCATTTTTGGTTTTTTTTTAAAATGAATGCCTGATTCATGTTAGATTTGATTAGTCAGTGGTTTGACCAACAGATTTATTATATTTATACTGTTGATTATAGCAGTAGCACTTAGACTTATATATTGCATCACAGTGCTTTACAGCCCTCTCTGGGGTATTTACAGAGTCAACATATTTGCCCCCAGTAATCTGGGTCCTGATTTTACTGGTCTTGGAAGGATAGAAGGCTGAGTCAATCTTGAGCCGGTGAGAATCGAACTGCTGGCAGTCGGCAGAATTAGCCTGAAATACTGCAATACTGCTTAAAATCCTACAAGCTAGACTCCAGCAGTACGTGGATCGAGAACTACCAGAAGTACAGGCAGGATTTCGAAGAGGCAGAGGAACTAAAGATCAAATTGCCAAAATACGCTGGATCATGGAGAAAGCTAGGGAGTTCCAGAAAAACATCTACTTCTGCTTCATTGACTATGCTAAAGCCTTTGATTGTGTGGATCACAACAAATTGTGGCAAGTTCTTAAAGAGATGGGAGTACCAGACCATCTTATTTGTCTCTTGAGAAACCTATATGCGGGTCAAGAAGCAACAGTGAGAACTGGACATG